ATATAATATAATATAATATAATATAATATAATATAAATAGATTCGTACTGGTTTCTAGAATTACGGTACAAGAATAAGGTAGAGGGAGGAGGCGGTAAGAGAAAAAGTTGATGTAGAGGGAGGTGCATATTTATTATTGCTTTGAATTTTGATTGCATATTACAAGTTGAACGGTTTAAAAAATCTTTTGGGTTCCCTCGTCGACTACCGCCTTTCTCCCCTCCACTACTGTTTTTCGCTCTCTAAACATAATTGTTGATGGTTAAGGTACCCGCTTTTTTTTTGCCATACTTGCACACATTTTTAACTTATTTCTGAGGAACTTTTTAAGTATAAAATAAACTTAAATATAGTTGTTATTCTCAGGAAAAAACTGCTTTTTTTTTTTGTTTTTACATTTTTTAAATATCTGTTGATATCAGTTAATCAGAAAATTGCTATTATTCAAAAGTTGTGACATTGAACACAAAAGTTTTTTATGCAAAAGTTGATTGCTGCAACAGAATCATTGAACTAACCGCTTTTTACAATGTATTTTGTTCCCTGTTGGTGTGGTTTTGGTTTAGTCTATCTTTATAACAACGGTTTTAAAATAAGATAAATAAAAATAGAGAAAGAAATAAAAATAGAAAAAATAAAAAAGCAACATAACTATCAACTAACTGGCCATTTTTGCCATTAATAAAGCTGATAAAAATGCTCCATTAAAGTTGAAGCCCTCTCCATGTTTACAGGTCCTCTGCGCATATAAACAGAAAAAAAATGACCGTCATTCACAGGCAGTTTGTTAAGTAAACTCCTTCAGAAAAATATAAATTTTTGAAAGTTATAGAAAAATTTTTATCTTAAAATTTGTTTACCACCTAATCAGCACATTTTTCCAATAATACAGTGTATCATGCTTAAAAATTAAAAATTTTGCTCTCTAAAGAAGGCTATACTCTTTGGTCAGTTGATAATTTCTTAAAGTAAGCAAAAACAACGGTTACTAAAAAAGATTTGATGTCCAGACAAAACATCAGTATCAGCAGCGACACCTTCTGGTGCAACTACAACAATAAACAATTCTGCAACCAAAAAAAAAAAAAAAAATGAGTAAAACTTACAAGTAAACAGAAAATCATCTTTTGTGATGACGATGATAACAAGAAAAAATGCAGAGATACTAAACAGGCGAAGTTTAATGCCATACAATCATCCAATTGCGGAGGGTAATGATGAGCTCAAACGCCACCTACGGACATATGGATCGATGCATTGAGCACTCATTTTCAGATGATAGGGTTCCCGATGCAGTAACAACAGCAACAGCAACAGCAATAACAACAACCAACGATCCTCGTTGCTGCTGTGCACAGACAGCAATACTTAATAGAAACCTCGCTGAAAATGGCCTTGAAAGAGCATTGAATGAGCATAGCCGACGAACAACATAAAACTGACATCAAATTACGATGCCAAGACAACAAAAATCGCCTAAAAAAAGTTGTGATACATTGTTGAAGCTCAAAAAGTCAAAAGTTTCTATGCTCTCATCATCTTCATCATCACTGGTGGAAGAAGCACTATCGTCATCACCATCACCGAAATCATCATCTTGATTATAATCATGATCATGATCAACAACATCTGCAACAACATCAGCATCAGTATCAGCATTGTCGAATATGTGATCATTTATAGCCTGTTTGAACAAACATTCAAATCTAAAATTTTTACTGATTTATTCAAAAGTTGCTCACCCTAGATTACTTTGACTAGCCTAACAATAAATCTGAAACCTCCTTTATGGTTCTGAGTTGCTGTACATCACTTTTACCACTCTAACTGTTATCTCTAGGCACAGTCGCAGAAGTAACGTCAGTGGCGGTAAAGATGGAAGCAGCAGAAGCGTTGTAAGTAGCAGTAAAGAGAGAACAGTGATAGAAATAACCAAACAACAATAAGATGTTGATAACAACCATTAAAATTTTAGGAAACTTGAAAGCTAAGAGTAAAACAGAACAGTCACAAACATGGTGAAAGAAGTTGGCTTAAAAATTGTAGAAAACATTACTACAAGGAAATGCTCAAATTCCTGGAATAAAAATTGTTTTTTTTTTAGTTAAACAAAAGCAATAGTAAAAATAAGAAAAAAAATGCGTGCCACACTGCTTTGAATACAGAAAAACGCATTATTAAGTCGAAAATAACGTGATAAAAAAAAAAAGAAAAACTAAACGTTTTTTAGAGACCGATTAAAAAGAAAAAAGTTTTTCTGTATCAAGCAGGTTTTTTGGTTACTGAGAACTAAATTCAAAAGCACAATATAAGCTTTCTAGGGCCTATCTGCCGTACAAAACATCTTGATAAGGCTGGGCAAACTACAAAAACACAAGAAGGGTGTTGCGGTTAAAAAGTTCAAGGTATATACACCTGTACTTCAGAAACTCACAGTGGAGTTACAACATCTAATTACATGACCTCTCTACCCTTCAAATCTGATTGACGATTGCATAAAAACTACCCTATTTAAGTAAATTTCCCTTCATACTGATTTTAACAGTTATTTAACAACTGACGATTTTCGATACAGGATATCATAGTAAACAGTCCTTATAATAAGAGAAAAAGTCTTTTTTATTGGCAAAACTTTAATTCTTAAGA